TGTAATGAGCTCTTTTCGTAACATCAGGCGTTGAATTCAGACAATTACTGTTCCCAGTTGGGCTGAGTAAAGAGAGCAATCGATAAAATTGATAGACATTGTATCTGGAGAGATTGAAAGACCATTTTGTATTGGGCTCTTTTCGTAAAAACTTACGTTGAATTCAGGTAGACACTGTTAACTATAGTAGAGAATAAAAACAGAAATCGATGAAAACGATACACTGTGTATCTGGTGGGACAGAAAAAAACATTGTGTATTGAGCTCTTTTCATAAAATCAGACGTTGATCTCAGACAAATGTTGTTCCCAATTGAACCGAATAAAGACAGCAATCGATGAAAATGATGCAAATTGTATCTGGTGCGATTGAAAGACTATTGTGTATTAAGATGTTTTCGTAAAATCAGACACTGAATTCAGATAAATACTCTTCCTAATTGAACCGAATGAAGACAGAAATCTATGAAAATGTTACTCTGTGTATCTGGTACGATTGAAAGAAGATTATATTTTGAGCTCTTTTCGTAAAATCAAACGTTGAATCCAGACAAATTCTATTCTTAATTGGACTGAATAATTACAGCAATCGATTTACAAATACTGTCTCTAACTGGACCGAATAAAAGCAGCAATCGATTGAAAGTCCATTGTTTATTGAGCTCAGACAAATACTGTCCCCCATCGTCCCGAATAAAGACAGCAATCGTTAAAAATGATGCTTAGTGTATCTGATGGGATTGAATGATCATTGTGTGTTGAGCTCTTTTTGTAAAATCAAAAGTTGAGATCAGACAAATACTGTATCCAGTTGAACCGAATAAAGACAGCAATCGATGAAAGTGATAAATTGTGTATCTGGGGTTATAAAAAGACCATTGTTTATTGAGCACATTTCGTAAAATCAGACGTTCAATTCAAAAAAACACTGTTCCCAATTTGGCACAATAAAGACAGCAATCGATGAAAATGATATAGCTCTGTATCTGGTTGGATTGAAAGACCAGTGTGTACTGAGCTTTCTTGTTTTTTGTTTTGTTTTTGTTTTATTTTGTTGTTTTTTCAAAATTAGACGTTGAATTCAGACAAAAACCATTCCCAATTGAACCGAATATAGACACACATCGATGAAAAAGCCTCCGAAATTGGCCAATCGGAAATATTTCAGCTTTCATCAGGACAAAGCCAGACATAATGTCTCTTTCCAGACCCTGTAGAAATTTGTACAACTTAGTATGAATGTACTACGACACACTCTATAGTCTTCTGACGTTGTACCTCCGGTTTTCTCCTTATTTAGATTCCTTGAAAATTATATTAATCGGAAGAACTTGAGTTTTCTGGAAGATTGTATAAAACACTTCTGAGAGGATGACGCTATGAAGCTCCCACGAATTTGCCAAAATGTAGTGAGAAAAAACGGCACTTATGTGGCTTAAGAAAACCATGTCCAAATATCTAAATATTTTTTTTAAGTTTACTTAAAAATAATAGGAACTTTTTTCCCGAGACAATATAAACAAAACAATGTTTTAATAAGTATGAATCTAACTTCAGTTAGCACATTACTTATGTAATATATGCAAATGAATTGACATAGGATATGAATATATATTAGAAGAATGTGCTTGTGCATTGCTGTATTTAATATAATATTCTCATGTAATTCATCCATATATTAGTACTTGTATTTCTGTACGCTCATCAGATTGAATATTTATTTCAATCCAATGCACACACACACATATATATATATATATATATATATATATATATATATATATATATATATATATATATATACAGGGACACTCCCGTCGTATTCGACGTATGTAGGTCAGGAACCGACACCAACACATAAGGTTTGATTATAATGGTGAAGGCTTTGGACAGAACCAAAAACACTTTTTGAAGGGCTGAATACAGAGGCCTGGTGCACTAAGTGCCACAAGGACCCCAAACAAACTTCAGATGGTTCTGAATTCAGAGTTGTTGTTCTCCTAGAGCAGTTGCCATCCAAGGCTATAGCCCCCCCCCCATAGCTGAGGACAGAAGAAAAGGATTCATACCTTTCCCAAGGATATTAGCACGTAAGTAAATGTAATGGATTCGACTGGAGCCCTCAATCCGAGCCGCTACCCACTACCCCATCGTATATTCGATTGACATATATCATCACTGTCTTGTCCGTATATTGCTTAATATATTGTACAGTAATTGACAGCTTTGATAATAGCTTATGTAAGCCGAAAGCTTAGATTGGATTAAAAAATATGGATCAATATTGTGATTTTCTTTCTTCGTTTAATGATAATGTTATTAAGCTTATCAAACGTTATGAAAAGAATTTACATAAAATAAATAGAATATATATATATATATATATATATATATATATATATATATATATATATATATATATATATATATATTCACACGTATATATACACTATAAGTTTGCTGAGAACCGCTGGATTTCGAAGAATCTCCTGAAATTGAACGTTGCTTGCCTTTTCAAAACTAATTTACTAACTCACTGCAAACCAGAACGACTTTCTCTTCCTGAAGAGTTTTGTCATATATTCAATAATCATAATAATAACCGATTTTTTGTTTTCGTTTTTTTTTTTTTCATTAACACTGGCATAATACTGTTGTATTTTTTAACCATAATAAGAAAGTCGCCGTGGATTTGTATTAAATGTTTATATATGGCATTTTTGTTTCGACAAGTTTTTCTGTTTTTGTTTGTTTGTTTCTAATCGATTTTGCCCCAAGATAAGTTAGTAAAGCCACTGAGACACAAGGGGTTACTGGACGTAGAAGAGTTAGAAACAAAAACATTGCTAAGGTGCAAGGCTAAAAGAGTAATCAGGACACTAGATAGCGATTGACATTTTTACAGATTAAAAGTGTCTGGAAAGCATGGAACCGTCAGGGCATTCCACAAGAAATTGGTATTCCAAATTTGTCTTGTTGTTGTAGAGTAGTTTTCACAGTGGAGGCTTGTATTTCAATAAGTCGGTTCTAAATTAGGTTCGACGTACAAAACGTTAGGAACTTGAAAATAAGAGTTAATGACGCAGCAATCTAGTTGTGATGGTTGTTACTTCAATGTCCGATATCGTCTGACTCGCTCAACACCACTGAGTATTCATCGATCCACCCACGAGGAGTGAATGTGGCACAAGGCCGGGTTTAATGTGGGTTTCTCCGAGCCCGTAGGCTCGGCCAAAAATATAGCCTTTGAACCCGCCTAGACGGGTTCAGGCCCTGTCTTCCTCCCCGGACGAAACCCCGCCCTTCGGCAAAGCCTCGTCCGGGTTCCTCTCTGCTAACGCAGAGAGTTCGACAGAAGGCGCGTGCAGTCAGAGACCGCTCAACACCACTGAGCCGAACTGGCGACTGCTACTACTACTTATTATCTGTGGGAGATCCATTACAATAGAATAGGTACTATAACACTTGTGCAAAGTGTAAATTTTGTGGGGAAGTGTAGTAAACACACGGATGAAACTTTTGAATTTTTTCTAATATATAATGAATCTTTGTTGATTTATACCATTTGCTGGTGTTATATATCTATGGATTATTTTTTCTGCTTTTTCGTTTTTATGTAATTGGTTTGCATCTGTTTACAGTAAAATAAATTAATAATATTTTTGTTATTTATATCGGGTTTACTATGTATGTCACTCTGATAAGTTGTCCGTAAAAATAATTTCATTTGCTCATCGACGATGTTATTAGAAAAGCCATCATTTTAAGTGCTTAACATTGGATAATTCTTTATAGAATATATTTCAAGAGGAAGAGATTAATTTAGTACGGTTGATAAGGGTTGTTTTTGTTTAATGACAGCGAACTTGTATTGTTAAAGGCATTCGCTTTGATATTTGTATATAATATTATATTACTTTTAAACATTTTGCTTCAAATTGACATCGTCGTTCACAAAAGCATTTCCTTGCTCTTCTTCTCGTCCACGCACACACATACACAGAGCCAATTTGCTTCAATTAGGTGTCTGTCCAAATTATATGAAGCAAAAAAAAAAAAAATAATTTAATTACGTATAAATTTTGCTTTGTTTGAATTTCCCGTTTATTCAGTTAAAAACAGAAACGAAAAAGAATTCATTAAATTTTCAGATAAAAATGTATAAAGACGTAAGTGTACGTGTGTTTACTTATTGAACTGTCCACATTTTCACGAACTGATCTAGTCTAGTTGTATTGTCATTTCCATTCACCTTCAATTCGATCAAGGTCACAGCGAGGTGAATGTTCCCTTACCACTAAGCATCCTATCAACTTTACGTTAGACAGAAGCCGACTATGTAAGTGTTACCGGAAATAATAATTTAACATAATGTGATATGAATATTCGTCGATGCAGAAGTGTTTAGCTTTAAGATTCGAACTATCAAAAAAATCTTTTTTTCAATCTAACAATGCAAATGGAACATCAGTTTTCATTAGGATTTTTCCTGTCAAGATCGTCTTAGATGCTTACAAATCAAACGAGAATTCTTGATAATGAAGAAGACAAAGGAAAGAGCCGACTGTGTGACATGTGTTTGCTTCTGACAATTCAGTGAGCCTGTCTGTGAATCGTTATGTAGTTTAGCTTCGTCTAGAATAAGACGACTAACTGTTGGGTATCCTGTGAGCACTCAATGCACTAGCAAGGTCTTATGAAATTCATTTATTTACAATCACACTACACAAGATGCTTTATACACTCTAAAATATGTATCTGTGAATGTTTATCTTTTATGTATGTAGGAATGCTGATATATATATATATATATATATATATATATATATATATATATATATATATATATATATGTGTGTGTGTGTGTGTGTGTGTGTGTGTGTGTGTGTGTGTTTATTCGAGAGTATGTTACTGAGATTTATTATCGAATTTTTTAATTATTACCACTTCTGCTGATATATATAAGCGCATTTATAGATAATTAAACGATTATTAAGTCACTGGACATAATAATAATAATAATAATAATAATAATAATAATAATAATAATAAGAAGAAGAAGAAGAAGAAGAAGAAGAAGAAGAAGAAGAAGAAGAAGAAGAAGAAGAAAGAGGAGAAGGAGGAGGAGGGAAATGGTAGGAAAGAACAATGAGATACATAAAAATTAACAATGGAAAAAAAATTGGATAAAACTGAACAAAAAGAAAATGTAAGCAACTAAAAAAAAACAAAAGAAATCCTGAATGATAAAATAAACAGTTTAATATCAAATAAAAGACGAAAAACAAGCATAAAATAATATGAACACAAAAGAGTGGACAATAATAACAACCACAAAAAACAATCAAACCAATAAATAAATATATTCTGATCAAACGAACAATTTTCTTCGGGCCCCAAAGAAAAAGTCATTAATACCCCCCCCCCCGCCAACGCACACACACGCCAAAACAAACGAATAGAAACCACACACAAAGATGCAAAGAGAAATCAAACAAAAGTCTTGAACGACGACATCAAAGAACACAAACATCACAAGTTATTGTTCTAACGATGTTGCCTACCCAACCGCCATGTTGGTTGGCGGTCGTCATGTGATGTAAGTGCTAATGGCGGACGGAGAAAACAAATGGCCGTCAAGAAACACCAAACGCCAATGGCAAAGTGAAAGGATGAGAAAATGGATAAAAAGAAAGGAAAAATACCCGCCTGGATGAAGTTATGGGCCATTAATTTTTTTTACATGGTCGACTCATAGCCGGGAGAGAAAGTCGTTGGCAAAAAGCGGACGCGAAAGGGAAATGGCGGCCAGCTTCAGTGTGAATGGTGAGAGGTGTCATGCATATCAAACACTAGGAGTGACAATCAGCAGAGTTCGGCTTTCGTGCTTCAAAATTAATTCAACATGGAGGCAACACACTACAGCAGCTGCTTTTTTATGCTTCGGACTCTATTAACACGGAAGAATGATTACTAAGGACACACAGCTCTACAGATACATGTTTCTGCTTTTCAAATACATACATACATACATACATACATATATATATATATATATATATATATATATATATATATATATATATATATTAATTATGCGAACCTATATATGCATCAAGTGACTGAGGGTTTATATACATGCACACACGCATATATACATGCATATATATATTGAGAGAGATATAGATATAGAGACATAGATATATATATATATATATATAGAGAGAGAGAGGGGGGGAGAGAGAGAAAGAGAGTGAGAGAGAGAGAGTGAGAGAGAGAGAGATTAAAAGGAGACAGCGGGTAATGAAAGACGGAATATACTTATACGCATTTGGATTTATTTGTAAAACCATATTTCCTGAATAGAAACATTGATATAGGTGAATATACATATTTTCTTATAATAGTTATAAGCAACACACACGCACACAAACACACACGCGCGCGCGCACGCGCGAACACACAAACACACACACACATACACACACACACTCACACACATATATATATATATATATAAAATGGACATAATAGTCTGTTGTGTTCAGGCATGAAACAGACTGTCGCCGCTCGGTGTTATACCCAGTATCCACTTTTACATTTTCACATGCTCTATCCCTGATATTGAGCGCCTTTACGCATAAATATAGACAACATTGAAACTAATATTTTCTATCATATCACACGCACACGCACACGCACATACATACATATACACATAAACACATACACACACACACTATATATATATATATATAGAACATTCGCATTCTGACCATGAGACCCGAGTTCGAATCCCATCATGGTCGGTTTATCAGAAAGGAAACTTTCTGACTGGAGGGGTCGATCCCAGCGTTCGGCACTTTTGGAAAGTTCCTAAAAACCACCCGAGCCTTGTGAGTAAAATTTGGTAGCACTAAGTCACATGTCATCGTGACCGAGAGTGCTGGCCTTGTTCACATTGTTGATCATGCTAGATAACAAGCTTCTAGTAGACGGGTGTCCTCGAATACAAGTGGCAAGCTATATATATATATATATATATATATATATATATATATATATATATATATATATGTGTGTGTGTGTGTGTGTGTGTGTGTGTGTAACTAATATTGTTGATATCGTGGTAAAGGCACATGAAAATTTGACCGAATCGATTTGCATAATTTCATTTGAAAAGCAAAAGCACATTATTTTAAAAGAATACTAATTCAAATGATTTTATTAAACTTTTCTTTTTTTGTCCCTATTTGTTATCTTAGTTTTAAAGAAAGTCACTAGTTAGAGTATGACTGTTTAGCTACTTTAAATAATAACACTTGATGTACCTGGGCGACAGCCTGTGAGACATGAGATTACATCCGTCGTAGCATATAGATAACGAATTTAACAGTTTTATTCAGTGTGTAGGATTTAAAGTCACTTGCCTGAGTATCATTCTAAAACAGAACATATTATTAACAGTTTTTCGTTCTTTCTGTCGAGTTCATTCGTCCTTTTTTGAAAGTCATAATGATTTTTCTTTGTTCAGTTAAGCCAGAATTCTGATTTACTAACACCGGTTCGTCGATATGTGACAACTACAAAGGAAATGAAGACAGGTGTATCACAGTCAGGACCGAAAGGGACTTACACAGGAAAAGTGTGCTTGGCAAGCTTTCAACGCCAAATGATCACCCAATACAGTTAAGAATATTCTTCTCGATATTTGAAAACAGATACAGGCTTCTGGGTCACAGATTAAAAAAAAAACAAAAAAAAGGCGATAGTTCTCATTGAATCATATTCTGTTTTTAAATCAAATTCATTCAAGACCATCCTGCAAGGCACTGTTGAAGGCGGACTCAAACGCGGAGGGCAACGCAAAAGCTAGCCAGACAACACCAAAGAGTGGACGGCATGACATTGCCGGAACTCCTGAGAGCCACCGCCCACAGATCATCCTGGAGGAGGTTGTCTGTTTCTACTGTCCTTAGATCTCCCCTCCGACGATTGAAGCAGTCAAGAGATGGATGATCATGATGATCATGATGATGATGTCATTTTTCTTCAGAATATAGGCGAACATTACATTTTCACAACATTTTCTTTATTATCTGGGAATTTCTATGCATTCTTGAGAAAGATAGATGGAGTGATTTTCTGCTGCCTTCATAGTATTCATCCTCTTAGACTGGTTGCCACCCAAAGTTAGAGGCCCTAGTCAATCCTCTATTTAATTCATAGCTAGGTGGAGAAGAAAAACACTGAAGCTTTCCCCAAGGATATTAGTGCCAAAATGAACGTATTGGACCAACTCGAAATTTGAACCCAGTTCGCCGACTCCATTTTCTGTGCCGATATCCTTTCCACCACGTTCACATTCAAGATTAGAGGATTCTTTTTTAAAGCCATCCCCAAAATAACGATAGTCACTCCACGTATTATTGTTGAGAAGATTCCACTTTTAGGTTCAAACTATAATTTTATAATATCACTGTTCAAGAAATTCCTATATAGGTCGAACAAAATACTGGTGACCTAATTATATAGATTCAGAAAGAAAGCGATAGTTACACAAATATTTATTTAGCTTAGTTTTGTACTTTGGCAATCAATGAGAATCTATGAGATTAGCATGTTAACCATTACTTAATATCGTGAGGCCCATTTATGTATGTATGACTCATCCTATATTCAAGAAAGTGTTGCGTTCGTCTTTATATGCAAATTTACATTTACATATGGTATGGGGTTTTTCCCGCGTAGGAAAAAGAATCAAAATTAAGTTTTGGTTTGGTTTGGTTTGGTTTGGTTTGGTTTGGTTTGGTTTTTTTTTTTAGAGCTTCAGAACTATATTTTCATAAATACCCTTTTGTATAGTTTTCTAAGTGAAGAAAATTACCTTATTTGTTACCATTTTAACTGGGTTGGTTTTGGTTTTGGTTTTGGTTTTGGCTTGGTTTGGTTTGGTTTGGTTTGGTTTGGTTTGGTTTGGTTTGGTTTACGTCATATCAACCTCAATGGGTTATTTAATGCCGACAAGATTTTTATTGCTGATAATATTTTTTTTCAAAAATGTATTGCTGGTAATAATTTTTTTATTCAAAAATGTATTGCTGGTAATATTTTTATTATTATTTTTTTTTTCAAAAATATATTGCTGGTAATAATTTTTTCCTTCAAAAATTAATTGCTGGTAATAATGTTTTACAAAAATGTATTGCTGGTACTAAAACCTATTTTTACACTTTCATAGTGCATTGTTTGGTGTTAACTATTTGCCCATAACTGGGATCCTAACAGGTGCTACCACCCCGGGTCAGAGTGGACCTGGGAACACCAGCAATTAAGAGGTGGTTCGACGCTTCTCAAAACCTCCTTGCTGTCAGATGTTGTTTATCGTCTTACCCAGGACGCGGATGTACGTAGTTTATTGTCGTACCCAGGACGGGCTGTTGGACGTAGTTTATTATATTAACCAGGACGCGGATGTAGTTTATCGTCTTACCCAGGACGCCAAAATTAAGAATGAGTTAACTAATTAAATTAAATGTAGCCTCGTGTAAAATTTTTTTGAATTTGTCTATTTACAATAATTTATTTGAAAAGAATATGGGTGTAGAGGGTTGTTGAAAATATTCTTTTAAGAGCCTAATAAAATTTAAGTTAAGTAAAAAAAAAAAATCTTGATGTAGAAGTGGGAATTACATTAGTTGATAAAGTTTTTAAAATCTCCTTGGTAGAAGGAAACAGCAAAAGTTCACGTGTTGTTATTAATGTACAGACCTGTCCGGATACAACAGGTCAACATTATAGAATCAGTAGTCAATTCCATTACATTCACTTACGTGCTAATACCCTTAGGAAAGGTATGAATCTTCTTCTTCTCCCCCCCTCCACAGCTATGGGTAAATAACAGGACAGACCGGATTGCCTTAGATGGCAACTGGTCTACCGCAGAAAGAAATGATAACCTACTGCGGGAATAATCTACCTCGTCAGTCATGTATCGAAAGATACATGATCGCCATGATCGTGTATCACGCATGGCACATAACTGAGCCTTTGTAATTAAAATGTTCAATATGGAAAAGGCAAGGTGAAGTAATAGGTAGTGGCTTAGATTGAGGTGTAGGAGAGCCGAGTTCGAATTCCAGTCGAATCCATTACATTCACTTACGTGCTAATACCCTTGGGAAAGGTATGAATCTAACTCTCTTGGCCTGAAGAGGCACGGTGGGAGTAATAGATAGCGACTTGGATTGAGGAATCGGAGAGTCGAGTTCGAATTCCAGTCGAATCCATTACATCCACTTACGTGCTTATACCCTTGGGAAAGGTATTAATCGCCTTCATCAAAAGATACATGATCACCTAAGCGTGTATCACGCATGGCACATAACTGACTGAGTGTCGAATTACAGTCGACGTGATAAACTGGTTGAAGTTGGTGAAACTTTGAATGATTGTAGTAACCGTAAACGAATTCTCTTGTATCATTAAGGAAAACTTATCTGCATTAGATGAGTTGCCCGGAGTTGGTTTGTTGGTCAGAGTCTAAAGTCCTTTTTGCTTTACGAAAATGCTAACTGATATGTCGTAACTATCCACTCTGACGAGGTGTAAAAGAATAGCGATTTAGTCGGCCGACGACCATCCTTATATTTGCGTCGGTAGGCTCAAGAGTCTTTTCAAATTAATGCGAATTTCAAATTCGGTTCATCTGACTGGTGGGAAATAATCCATAGGATGAATTTGCTTGTCAATTCTTTCTTAGAATTTCCATTTTTTTTTCTATTACCTAACCCAGAAACACTTTCGATATATTCGAACTAAGAATTATTTTAAAAAGTCCACCAAACATATTATTGGTCTTCGCTCGTATTTAATGGTAAGGGGAAATGGTTTGTATTTGCATTTGCATTTTCAAATAAATTTTTAGTGTCTGTGTGAAGTGGAAATATATATATATATATATATATATATATATAGCATAATGAGAAGCCACGTATACTTTCTTAATATGTATATATAGAAAAAGTTTCAAATTAAAAATTATAATGTTTTATTTTATGAAAGTATATATATATATAAATAAATAAATACTTTCATAAAATAAAACATTATAATTTTAATTTGAAACTTTTTTATATATATATATATATATATATATATATATATATATATATATATATATATATCAAATAATCTTAGAAATATATATAACTGCTTATATTTCTAAGATTATTAGTGTTATACTGTCCGGCAAAACCTTAGATGTTTTAGCCAAACAATGCCCAAGGGAAAAAAAGGGGGGAAAAAGAAAGAACTAAGAACATATATTTCCGGCGAAAATAATCGTCTAGAATCTACGTTCAGAGTCCAAAGAAAAAAACCTCCGATACGAGTAAGTAAAATAACTAAGCAAAGTTCTCAATACGCTAAGTAGAGCAAATGAAGCAAATATATATATTTGTGTTTTTAGGCAGCAATCCTTCTTTCATGCATATTTCATTGAATACGACGGACAAGGTTTAATAAAATGATAACAACAACTTTCGGACAGTTTTTATATAATTTATCATCTGGACAAAAATTGATTAGATCGCATGAGAAATTGTATAAAAAAAAAACTAAATAAAAGCACCTTGTCTGTCGTATTCAATGAAATGTGCATATATACATACATATACATACATACATACATATATATATATATATATATATATATATATATATATATATATATATATATATATATATATATATATATATTAATAATTAGTAAATATTCAAAGGACTTTTGCATATTTGTGTTTGTGATCTTACGGGCATGAAGAAATCGTCATTTACTTGCAAACAAATTCTAATCGATGAAAGAAGGCTGATTTTGTCGAACATTGCAAGGGGGTGCTAGCAAATTCACTGCCTATAAAATCTAGACAGTCACCGCCACCTCAACAACAAATATTTCTCTTCCCCACCACTTCCCTCGACTTACTGTTTCACCGTCGTCATCATGAAGTAAACCTCGCAAAAACAATTAGATTTTTTTATTGGACTGCTTTCCTCTAAGCCATTCTTTTTGTCCTTCTAATCACTGGAATTTCGTTCCACTTAATTAAAAACATTTCTGAGCATTGAAACGCTTAAAGAAAGACTTATAAAGTCTATTACCTGATTGCTTGAAAACGTCCAGTCGTTACAAACAATGATTATTTTCAGAGCCACGGTGACAACAGAAGTAGACTGTAGCCACTTTGTTTGTGGTCAGGCACAACTGTGGTAATTCTACTTCTAGCGACAGACCAAGCTCGATTCCTAAAACTATCTGGGCTTTATATATAAAAAAAGCGATAATCAAATGAAATCTACATGTAATAGTGTTCATAAGTACGGTATAAAACAATATATTTATTTAAACTAAATTATCTAATCAGATCAAAGCCACAAAATAGAGTGCATACTGTTTGTTGAAATCAAGTGGGGAGTGTTTGTGATTAATGTGATAAATATCGCTCCACAGCAGGCGCCTACAATATATCACACACATATATATATATATATATATATATATATATATATATATATATATATATATATATATATATATATATATATATATATATAGAAGGTCATCCACAGACAGACTGTTTCGCTGTTTCACAGCTCATCAGTGTGACTAGACATCCGGTTGCCTCTAGCTAGGATCAAAACCCGACTAAATTGGTGTCAGTCGGAGATTCTACCACTAAGCCGGCGGAGCACGGCAGGGATGAAGGTGAGTTTTTTTTAGTTTATTTATTTTTAGAAACACACACAGTGACTGACATTGGCTCAATTCGCTTTTTGCGAAGAGTCTCGCTATATTTACTATAATAGTCACTGTTTACAAACCCACACCTATATATATATATATATATATATATATATATATATATATATATGTAGATAGATAGATAGATAGATAGATAGATAGATAGATAGCGAAGTCATGATTATCCATATATTGATGAATTAGGAGGACGATATGGAGACTCATAGATAGATACATATGAAATCCCAAGCAGAAACAGATGGATCTGTGCATACCTATTGGGTATGTTCTAATACTCATAAATACGCTGTACACTATTATAAGTTGGAGTAATATGCTATATAAGTAGTCCACCACTAGCAGTGGTTTACCTACTTCACGTCGCTGGCGAGTATTGTATTTTGTTGATGTTATAAAGATTACGATTCCATTTCCAACCCCCGTTTTGGTTATTCCTCATTCAGTAAACCTTTTTAGGTTACAACACACACACACACACACACACACACTTTGCATAGCTTTCAGTGGACATAATTTTGTAGCTGTTATCGTGTCTTACTTAAGAATAGAATTAAATGGCAGTGAATATAAGACATGCTTAACTCTTATTAAACTCAAGCCAACCATGTTTATACTATTCAATCTCTCTCTCTCTCTATCTCTCTTTCTCTTTCTCATATTATTATATTCAAAGAGTGAGAAGAAAAGGAAGCGTTAACTGATAAAATAATTTTTAAATGGAGAGATAAGAATCGACATGACCAGTTATGCAGTTATTCATATACGTATGTCTGAGTGTGACTCTATAGTTGATATACATTTATGTTTACATGTATAGCTGTAGATGTAAACGGTGTGTACATTTTGAACGAGCACGCAAACGACGTGCATTTATATGTTTGCACGAAACATTTGAATAACACACACATCTTCTAATCCAAACATATGCGGATGAAAATTTATATGGGAACATTTAAAACCTTGTCCAGAATTTCCAATAATATTTCGTATTTCCTAACGTCTTCAACATATATATGTGTGTCTGTGTGTGTGTTTGTGCATGCGCGCGCGTGGGTGTGTGCTGGAAACGGACATACATATGTCTTAAAACTAAAGCAGTACAGTTCAAGATTGCTACAATAGGCTAATGTTTTCGCCGCTTGTCTCTCAGGTAAAACAAAATGGTGGATTAGCACCACGCAGAGAAAACACGAGAAAGGCGGGATTTACACATCGAAAGATAAAATGATAAAGGCCAAGCGCATCATTTTGCATCTGTTTCTGTGTCAGATCCACGTGCAACGATATGGAAGGCCGTCAGAAAGAAAAAAAAAGGCAAAAAAAAAAAAAAAATAATAAAACGAACCGGGCAGTGGTAAAGAGTATGCGTCATTTTTTTTCTCTGCAGACGCCATTTTTCTTTCTTTTTTCTCTCTTTTGTAATCAATAACTTAACTTTAACTTTATAAATTTTCATTTTTTGTTTAGTTTTTTTTTATTCTTGCGTCTAAGTTTTAAAAGTTATCCGTTTTCTTTTTGTGTTATTGTCATTCTATTTCAGTTTCGTATCATTTTCACAAACCATATCTATCTATCTATTTCAGTCTGTTCATATCTATCTATCTATCTATTTCGGTCTGTTCCTATCTATCTATCTATCTATATATCTATTTCAGTCTGTTCATATCTATCTATGTATCTATCTATCTATCTATCTATCTAGGTCTGTTCCTATCTATCTATCTATTTCAGTCTGTTCATATCTATCTATCTATCTATCTATCTATCTATCTATCTATCTATCTATTTCGGTCTGTTCCAATCTATCTATCTATCTATCTATCTATCTATCTATCTATTTCAGTCTGTTCCTATCTATCTATCTATCTATCTATCTATTTCAGTCTGTTCATATCTATCTATCTATCTATCTATCTAGGTCTGTTCATATCTATCTATCTATCTATATATATATATATATATTTCAGTCTGTTCATATCTATCTATCTATCTATCTATCTATCTATTTCAGTCTGTTCCTATCTATCTATGTATCTATCTATCTATCTATCTATCTATTTCGGTCTGTTCCTATCTATCTATCTATCTATCTATCTATCTATCTATATATCTATTTCAGTCTGTTCATATCTATCTATGTATCTATCTATCTATCTATCTATCTATCTATCTATTTCAGTCTGTTCATATCTATCTATCTATCTATCTATCTATCTATCTATTTCGGTCTGTTCCAATCTATCTATCTATCTATCTATCTATTTCGGTCTGTTCCTATCTATCTATCTATTTCAGTCTGTTCATATCTATCTATCTATCTATCTATCTAGGTCTGTTCATATCTATCTATCTATCTATATATATATATATATATTTCAGTCTGTTCATATCTATCTATCTATCTATCTATCTATTTTTCAGTCTGTTCATATCTATCTATCTATCTATCTATCTAGGTCTGTTCATATCTATCTATCTATCTATATATATATATATATATTTCAGTCTGTTCATATCTATCTATCTATCTATCTATCTATCTATTTCAGTCTGTTCATATCTATCTATCTATCTATCTATCTATTTCGGTCTGTTCCTATCTATCAATCTATCTATCTATTTCAGTCTGTTCCTATCTATCTATGTATCTATCTATCTATCTATCTATTTCGGTCTGTTCCTATCTATCTATCTATCTATCTATCTATCTCAGTCTGTTCATATCTATCTATATTAATTTATTCATATCTATCTATTTATGCGTATGTGAACATATTAACGTGTACAACATTTTAATTACAGAGGCTCAGTGATGTGCCATGCGTGATACACGTTTAGGCGATCATATATCTTTCGATACATGACGAGGCAGATTTTTTTCAACAGTAGGTTGCCATTTCTTTCTGCGGTAAACCAGTTGCCATCCAAGGCTATAGAACCCTGTCTGTCCTGTTATTTACCCATATCTGGAGGATGGGAGAAGAAGAGGATTCATACCTTCCCCATGTGTATTAGCAGGTAAGTGAATGTAATGGATCTGACTGGATTTCGAACTCGGCTCTCCGATTCATCAATCCAAGCCGCTATCCATTAGTCCACCGTGCCTGTTATGAAATACATAACCTTTTTGCTGTTACGCCAAAGTGAATGCAATGCTGTCGTTGTTAGCAGGTTCATGTGCTAGTTAATCTAGTCACTCTCTGCTTTGGTCTATAAACGTATGCTTTTCGACACAATCGATTTCTGAACGTATCTCCTTTTAACTTAATGGTTCAATGAAAATATTAGACAATCAATAATCCTGAGCATTCCTGTTTTTTTTTCTTTTCGGCCATACTTGTTAGCTCGATTTTACATGCGTTAGTCTTGCTTACAATCTTTATCCATTTCTTTGTTTAAACAGAAATCCAAACACGCTTCCTTCGTAGACAAACAACTGCAACAAAAGAAAGACGTTTTACGTAAGTCAGCTGTGACAAACATTATCGTTCTTCTGAGAAACCATTTTAAAGTTTAAATGGGATCGATTTGATAATGTTTCTAACGTTACAGTTACCTCACAAGAACTAATAAAGGAGAGCTTCTACTATACGTATCGAACCGAGGTGGCTTGTAGTTAAGCTCTCGCCAATCTCAGAGAAAAAAACAAAAAAACACTGAAAACTGAAAAGCTTCTCTTGATTAAAAATCTGTTTTCCTCTTTCTTCTTAAACACGGAGGGAATGTCTTTTGTCTGAAAGGTAGGTACCACTACGGACCTCATAAAAACACGAAAAACGCATTGTATATAATTTAAATGTTTTCTTTGAACTTAAATTTTGGTTTTATTTGGTAGACAACAGCTAAAAGCTTATCTATATGTAAAGAAAAATAAATTTCCTTATGTAAATAAAGACATTTTGAAAATATTAGAACCTTCACTGGTCGATCATCAAAACATCGAACCGCCATTATAGATGAAAAATGTAAAGAAAAGATTTAAAAGTCTCCTTAAAAAAACAATATTTGGTCTAGAGATGAGATTCAAATAAATTAGTAAATTTAAGGATTACTTAATTGGATTTTGTAAACGTAATTTTTACTTTTTACTTAAAGATTCGGCACAAGGCTGAAATCGAGAGAGGGTTCTAATCAGCAGGCAATCACTTTTTACTTAAAGCAGAATGGAAATAACGTTTATTTGCGCACAGCGTCCTTTGATGTCATAGGTCAGCAACAACAGTTCTCGACTCTGATCTACAGCTCTTAAAATGAACCCAAAAATTAAAACAAAATAAAGAAATATGGAACATCAGCTGTGTAATAATCATGAAACTGGTATTAATGTTAATAAGTTATTTATATAGAATATATTTTTCTCTACGTTTTATGAAACTTAGTAGAATGAATAATTTTATTTTTCATACTACATTTTTAATTGTACAGCACTCTCCCCGGTCGTCCAAGACTTCCAGCAACGCGGCTGGTCGCTAAAATGACCACTTCAATCACGAGCTAACCTTATCCCACGTTGTGATTTAAGTTTGATCATAAGGAGGTCAAGATCGAATCGTCACAGGTATCTTTGTGTTGGGCTGATCCAAACAGGGCGATGACGTACAGAGAAAAAAATAATACTCGAATAAATTGAACAAAAGTAAATAGTTTTTATATCAGTCTCCGTACAATAATTGGTTTATATCAGAATTCGCATGTAATTATCAGCCCAACCCGCAACTAATTCGGAATTATTGTTGTCGACTTGGTAAAGGTTTGTTGCTTTGGCTGACTACCTCGCCAGACGAGACTCTGTCCTTGGGCATAGCCTCGTCTGGGTCCCTCTCTATTCACACTTGATACTGCAAAATATTTCAGGAATTATTCATTATATAATTAAAAAGATTTCACAAATAGTCGGCAAATTACAATGTATACGCAAGATATCGAAAAGGAAGGAGTGAACTGACCCCTAAAAATATTTCCACGGTATTTTCAGTATACAATTCATTCATGGATGAATAAATACTGAAAATGTCGTTTAAATCGAGTTTTTTGCAAACTTTTAAAGACAAAGGGCAGCCATCTTTTGTAAATTCTTAAAAACAGAGCGTAGCGATTTTTTGCTTACATATCGTAAAAAAAACGCATCTATTTTGGTTGTATTTACTAAAAGCCTTCGAGTCCACCAGTAACGTCATTCGAGGGAGTTATTTTTCTTTTCTTTTTAAATTAAGTCAATTATTCCATAGTTATTTTTCAAGCGTAGCTTAGATGTAGCACAAAGCCTAAAGTAGGAAAAAACCAGTGAGGATCGAACTCACAATTCAGTCGTAATTGTGCTAACGAGACAAGCTTGCTAACCATTACACCACCTCGAGGTGCCTAAACGGTTTTCTAAGCGTAGCTTAGATGTGGCACAAGGATGAAAGTGTGGAACACCCAGTGAGGAACGAGTCAATTATTCTCATATTTTGAAAACAGAATAATGAGTGAAATCTTTCACGAAGTTACGTTCAACATAATGGAAAGTACAATGTTGGATTTTCCCTAAAATAATCTGTTTTTTTTCCCTAAAATAATCTGTTTTGTTTTTTTTTTCTTTTTCTGTGTTTTCTTTTTGTCTCTTTTGGATGTTGTTGTTTTGTTTTTGTGCTAAGAGAGTAGACCTTGCTAAATGTAAACGATGGCTCTTGCTGGTAAGTTTATTTCGTTCTTTAAACTCATAAGTTTAATACCTGTGTCAGACAGCGGATCAGGTGCATCGCTTCATGGCGCCATAAAGAAAAAGTTCATCGGAAGAACACCGAATTTAACAGAAAGTAAAGGACAAAAACAACGACTAACACCCTTCACGCCGTTAGAGAAAATAAAAATTCTCTAAAGACTAATGCAGATAAAAACATCTGAAGAAAGACTGCTGGCTACAACAGTGAAAACGTCGCGAAAAAAAAAAAACAACAAAAATAAAAATGCACATCGAAAATAACCATTGTATAGTAATAGGACTTTGTTTTAGAAACTTCGAAAAAAATAGACTGGTTGACATTTAAGCGATAATGGAATTTAGTCAATCAATTTAACACAAATATGACGAGGTAGTCATTACTTGGTAAACTATCCAGCAATTTTGTATAGTGTGTAGAGGCTCAGTATTTATATTAATGACTAGCAGCATGGCCCGGCGTTGCCCGTGCTTGATTCAAAAATCGTACGACTCATATAGCAATCGCTATCACTTGACTTAAAATATTTTTGCCCTTCCTTGCTTTTAAAGGAGTGCCCTTTGCCGTGCGGATGTTGATACATGCCTTACTTCTCACACTGCGAATTTTTTCTAAGCTCTATACTAAACATTAAATCTGTTACGAAAAAAGAACTAAACAAAATGAACACAAAACGATCAGCTTTAAAAAAAGGACTCGTAACTGGAAAAACCGAATAAAAAAGAATTTTAACAACAAATACTTTTTCACACCCAATCCAGTTCTGCGGAATCAGAATCAGCATTGAGTTTAAGCAAGCGATTGAGCCAATTAGAGTAAAGTGCGATGCAGATTTAAATTTTTCCCACTTGTGTCGAATGCAGCTATCGATTTTTTTTTTTTTGCATGCTAGCATGCTAGTTAACATTCGTGTCAGTCAGCTGTTGGCTCTGACGCTGGCCAATAGAATCTTCCTGCCTATTCGTGGCAGCCAGCTATAGGCTTTCACTCTGGCCAGTAGAAAATGGCCGCAAACTACATGAAAACTGCTGTAGAAGCATGAAAAAATCGATTATTTCCACTATCGATGGGAGTTGGGAAATGCAAAGTCGGTCTTGGCCTTCCTGCCAACTTGGAGCATGTGCATGTAAATTTTGGTGCGAATCCGTCGAAAATTGCGGCCGTGAATTCGTTACACACACACACACACACACACACACACACATCCTGCCTTTTATAGATAGAGATACTTCCACGTACAGGATTCAAGTAATAATAACAACTCCAATTTGTTAACCAACAAATATATGTTGAATAAAATACAACAATAAGCATGAAATAATTTTGTATTCACAATGTAGATTAAAGAGAAGGGAGTTGTTTCCCTTTGACTGTAGACTGATTGTAATTAATTGTTTGAAGAAAGTTCTCTTGTGAGATAAATGTTCCGAAATAATTGTTAGAGCAAAGTTTACATGTGAAGAATGAATAACATCAAGAATACAATTGCTTGAAATGTGTTGTGAATAAACTGGTTTGAATCAACAAAGTTCTGGTTGATTGTGCTTGGCAAAAGTTACAGAGAGAAAATGTAAGTTTGCAGTTACGAAATTCTGTGTCCGTGAGTGCGTTGAGCAAGATCATGGATTTGTGTTGACGGCTGAAATTTTACTGGATGTTACTGGCGACTTGCGAAAGGTCGCCTCTTTTAAGGAAAAAAAGGTAGGCTCCCACAGAACCGCAGGAAAACTTGATCTTACATTAAAATATGTGATTGGTTAAAAATTAGCCAATCACTACACTCGTACTAAACAGAATAGGTAAGTATGCTCAGAACCAAAAGATTCAAAGGAACGACTGCGATGGCTAAATTGTCCTATACAAAGGTAGTAGTAATTTATTAGCCAATCGCAGGCGAATAAAATGACTTGGAGTGTATGTGGGTGTGAAAAATATAGCAATCGCTATAAGTGTGCCAGTTGAGCGGCGTTGATCTATCTTAGCTACCAATCAGAGATTACCTTACTTATGCGTAAATAGACACCCACCCGTGGAGGGTTATTCAAATGCTAGTGAGATCATATAAAGCAAGCATGTGTGACGACAGCATTCACA